TATGGCTTTGGCTTCTTATGCGTTTTGGCTTAGGTTTATTTGCTTTGATTTGTCATTTATCCTAAAAAACCCAAAATCGTTATTTTATTTTTAATTAGCTAAATATAGTATAATAAGCACTAGTAAGTTCAATGTAAAAGGGCATAAAATTTACGTAAATCATGCATCGATAAGTTAATTTGGAGTTTAATTAGTTAGATTTTATTATATGATTTATTTTAGAATTTGATGGATTAAATTGGGATTTTCTATACATCGGATGTTGTATAGCTTAGATTGAGTTAAAAATTTTATATATGGCTTAAGGAAGTGTTTTTATAATAATAAAATGTTTTAGAAGGGCTAAATATGTGATTTATGAAAATTTTTTGTGATGATAAAGTACTTTTGGAAAAGTTCAAGATAATGAATAGTAAAATATGAATTTTGAGATTTATTAGTTCATTGTTGAGTAAGAAGTCTATTTATGAGTTTATTGAATTAAGTAAAAGATTTATTATAGATTGTTTTAATGGTAGGAATTTAATTACTCGAGAAGAATAATTGTTGAATTACAAAGAAAGTAAGGTAAGCATGGTTCAACTCATTATAATGACTTTATGTATGAATATATGATATGACTAAATGAGGATTTAGGTGCATTTTTATGTGCATTTATAATATGAGTGTCAACTCGTTAATGTAGATGTCCAAGATCCAACCTTGATTGGATGGTTTGAGTTATTATATTATTACATTATTTATTTTATCAATAATAAAAGAAGTCTTTCTACTAATTCTTATTTATTTATATTTATTTATTAAATAGAATTAGATAAAAATTCATATGATATGCATTTATATTAATGATTGATTGAAAGATATGAGAAAAACATTAATGCACTTAAATGATATCATTAAATATCTCAAGTCATAGCATTGTCAAGAATGGATATTGACTATATACGGTTAGACTTACGAGTGCTATGCTCTTGCTATAAGATAGCGAGTAGGAGATCTCACATCTATTAGCATGATGATGTCAAAACAAGCACTTAGGTGTTTAATATTAGAGAACATATCATTGGACTTAACTCACCATGAGAACCCATTTGGTTTAGTCTATAGAATTCTCATATGAGATGGATACAATTAGTCATTTGATTTGAAGTCATTACGGTTATCTCATTAGAGGATTTATGTACTTTGACACTCGTTTTGATAGACGTAGTAAAGGGTTAGACATGGGTGAATTGTTGGGTGCACTAGAAATCTAATGGAGGTAGATGGATGTTTAAAGATAAGACATGTCATCCTTGTATGCTAAAGGAATTATCACATTACACTTCGATGAATGTCCGCTCAAGAAATTTATGACCATAGTAAGAGTACACCAATAAAGCATAGTTGGTTTACTTTAAAAGCTAAAATATTTGAGAATTCAAGAAAACTTATGTGATCATAATCGAATAAACTAATAACTAAGTTCGAAATCACATTATGATAAATTAACATAAGGATCTGGATTGATATAGTAACTATGCTCGTAAAAGATAATTGCGGATTAATTAATCATCCTAGAGAATTGGATAGTCATGATGTCTTACTAGAGGCTAATCTTGATTTATATATTAAGAGATAAAAGAGGTGTCTTTTATTCTTGATACATTGCCAACATATCTAGAAGCATATTGAGTTACATGCATAAGTTTAAGCATTCACATAATAAAAGAGAAACAAAGACATTGGAAAATGTTTTCAATTTTGAAAGTTTCCTATTTTGAAAAAGATTTTTGAAAATGAAAAGTTTTCTATTTTAGAAATCAGTTTTCCAATTTGGAAGTCGGTTCCAAATTTGAAAATAAGTTACATAAAAAGAAAATTAGTTTCCTAATTTAGGTTTAAAGATAATTTGAGAAATTATTTCCTAATGTGAGTCTTTTGAAAAATATCTAATCTAATTTATTTGGATAGTTCAAATTAATTAGTAATTAATTAGGCAAAAGGAGTTTGGGTCAACATGTTTAATTTAAAAGCATGAAAGATATTTTAATGAAAGGATAAATATGAGCCTTATTAAATAAGGATCAAGATTTAAAAGGATAAAATCAAAAAGTCCACTACATAATACATCATAATCATTAGAGGATTAGGAAGCAACGACCTCGAGGCCATATGGGATAAGTTGCCGCCACTTCCTTGTCCAAGTATAAGAAAGCCTCTCCTCCTATAAATAGAAGGAGAGGTGCAACAAAAGAGGGATTAAGGTAAGAGCTATATGGCATAGAGTAAAAATAAAGAGAAAATAGTTTTCTCCCTTTCGTTACATATGTCGCTTCTCTCCTCCTAAATTAGGGTTGTTGCAAAATATTCCTAAATAGATTTTTAAAGGAAAAACACTAAACAAGTTATAAAAAGTGCAACTAGCACTCTATTAGTTTTGAGTGATTCTTGTGTAGGTAATTAGACGTATGGATTATTAATAGAGGTTGGACACTTGAACGACTTATTTTTTATTAAGGTTAAAATCTACACTACAAGAAGTAATCATTTATTTATGTTTTAATTTATATATGTATGATTAGTTGATTTAATGGTATGATCTTGAGAACTTTAGATGGAGAAATTTTTTTGTTTTATTCCGCACTTCATAGGATGTATGATCCTTCAATTGCTATCAAAGCCTCCATTGAATTTTTTATTGTATTCTTTATTAATTGTGATTAATTGCATGAATTAGAAATTTTTGATTATAAATCTTGTGTTATTGTTATTTTATGTATGATTTAAACTAAAATTTGGGTTTAAAAGAGTGGGGGCAGGAGAGGCTAACGTTAGACGTTGGCTCACACATGCATGAGCAAGGAAGCTAACCTGATCGTGCACGATAGCTAGGCGTGCCTAAGCACATGCCAAGCTTCCCGGCAAGCCGATCTCACATTGGGAGCGCGACAAACCGAGCCTTCGGCAAGCGGTTATATGTTGGGCGTGCAATAGGCCAAACCCTACTAGGCGGTTACATGCTGGGTGTGCGATAGGTCGTGCCTCGCTCACGATAAGTCTTTTGTCCAAAGCTAATCGCATGCTAAACGCATGACATTCTAGATTTGTTTGGCAAGCCGGTCGTGCTACGTGCCCGACATGGCAGGCGCACGCTAGGTGCGCACTAGGCCTAAGGCCGAGCCAAGACGTGCCTAGTGCACGTCAAACGCGCACCGGGCACGAGCATGAGCAAGGCTTGCAACGAGCCGATCACGCGCGTGCACTAGGCAGCGAGTGCCTAGCGATCGCGCGCCTCGGGCAGCGAGGCGTGTACACGCGCATGTTAGGCCACCGGTCATAGGCGAGCCAACACGCCGAGGCGGTGGCATGGGCTAGATAGCCCATGGTCCCTCGAGGCTCAAAAGGTCTTTAAATTGAAATTTAGATAATTTTATAAAATAACTAGAAAATAGATTTATAATTACGATTAAAATGAAATGTATTTCATTAGAATATTTAAAATTAATTTATAACAAAAGAATATTTAAAATATATTATTGAAAAAAAAGGAAAAGAGAATGAATTATATTAAAATTAAATCAATGTATAACAAAGGAATTCATATCATATCCATAAATAATAACATATTGGATACATATTATAAAAATTTTGTTACATAAACTTTAAGAATCTTGAGCTATCCAATTCACGGCTAATAAAATAATTTAAAAAAAAAGAAGCAAACTATTAAAATCTATTACAATTTATGAAAGTATGATTATATTGCTGGTCATAAGGATTTGATAAAGCTTTATGTGGTTCGTTGTCTTTTTTTTTCTTGGTTGCTTTTCATAAAATGAAACGTTTGAAACCTTTCCTTTCAAATTATAGAGTAATTGTGGCAAAATTTTATTTATTTATTTTGCTTATTTATTGAATCGACTATAAAGATTGAAATCCATAATCTATAAGTTCTGTGAATAAAGGGAAAAAAAAGGTTTTGTTTTTAAAGGTGGATAAAAAAAATAAATTTTTATGGTGTTTTGATGTACCCTTAAAATCAAAGGTTTTTCTATGATTGTATTTTTGAAAAAAAGTTTATGGTAGAATAAAAAAAATTCTTATGGTCCGTGAAAAACAAAAAGTTATATAAAAAAATATTGAATATTTTATATAGTATGCATAATATTGGATATTGAATCTGAAAAGGAGAGAGAAAAAAAAGTTGCATAGGAAACTTGTGGTCTACGAGAAAAAAAAAGTTATATAAGAAACATTTATATATTGAATATGTTATATAGAAAAAAAATATTAGGTATTGAATTCAAAAGATATATATTGAATATGTTACAGAGGAAATATACATGTATTAAGATATAATAGTCACTTAAGTAATTGAAGAGTATTGTAGTTTTAAAAAATATTTAAGTATATTATAGTTTATCAAAAGCTTTGTTGGAGTTTGTGTTTTATTATATATAACTATGGATAGAGTGATGATTTTATTTTTCGGAGCGTTATTGGATTTATAGTACCTATCTGCAAGCCAGTATTGGGCCAAGTGGGCTTAGATGGGTGAAAGCTTTCATATGTAGCCGATGCAAACTGTGTTGTCCTCCGACCAGGCCAGGCTATGTTGACGGGCAAGTGACGTAACTCAAAGTTACTGAAAACCCTAACACAGCATTGTCCGATTTCCATTTCTCAGCCCCTTCTCAAATCACCTGCATCATCTTCATACCTTATAAAAGGAAAAATCCTCCAAATTTCCCTTCCTTTCGCTGATTCAAATACACCAAATTTCAACTGCAAATGAGTTAATTGCTACTTTAAATTCCACTTTTGTTATTGATACATTGAAAAATCTCGTTTTGGTCTCCATATTTTGGTTCGCTATGGAACTTTTTGTCGGTTTTTCTTCTCTCCATGACGTGCAGAGATTTTAACATAAACCCACAAAAACTGGGAGACCCAATAGAAATTCTGGCAATGTTTAAAGAGTCATTGCTTTAAAGTTCAGTAGTGGAGTGGGGTTGCGGATGACCCTCTTTTCTTTAACTACCAGACCTTTGAGGGTTCGAGCCTCCACTATTGCCATTGCCCATTTTCACGGTCAACATCGAGGAGGATCTCGGTTTTACCCTGATAGTGAGGTAATTCAAAACCCAGAAGCTTGGTTTGTCAAAGTAGTTTCCACCCTTTTTGTCAACTCGCACTCTTTGGATACTTGTTTGAGTTATTTGTGTGAAAAGTTGACACCTTTGATTGCATTTGAGGTGATCAAAAGATTTAATAATCCAAAATTGGGTTTGAAGTTTTTAGAGTTTAGTAGATTGAATTTGAATGTCAATCATTGCTATTCCGCTTATAATTTGCTTATGAGGTCCTTATGTCAGATGGGTCACCATCATTTGGTGAATATGGTCTTTGATTACATGGGGAGCGATGGGCATTTGCCTGATAGTGCACTTTTAGGATTTTTGGTAACTTCGATGGTGCAGGCGAGCAATTTTGATATGGTTAAGAAATTGCTTGCTGAAGTTCGTGGTAAGGAAGTTTGGATTAATTCTTTTGTGTATAACAATTGGTTGAGTGTCTTGGTTAAGCAGAACCAAGTGCACCAGGCCATTTACTTGTTTAAAGAGTATTTGGTATTGCATTCTCCTCCTGATGCTTGGACTTTTAATATTCTTATCCGAGGTCTTTGCAGAGTAGGGGAAGTTGATAGGGCTTTTGATTTTTTCAAGGATATGGGGAGTTTTGGATGTTTGCCTGATGTTGTTACGTATAATACTCTTATAAATGGATTGTGTAAGGCAAATGAAGTACAGAGAGGGTGTGAATTGTTCAAGGAAGTTCAGTCTAGAAGTGATTGTTCACCGGACATTGTAACTTATACATCTATTATATCAGGGTTTTGCAAGTCAGGCAAGATGAAGGAGGCCTCAGTTTTTTTTGAGGAGATGATTAGGTCTGGGATTCAGCCCAATGCAATCACTTTTAGTGTTCTTATTGATGGCTTTGGCAAGATTGGCAACATAGCTGAAGCAGAAGCCATGTACAAAAAGATGGTTTATTTTGATTGCTCACCTGATGTAGTTACCTTCACATGCTTGATTGATGGCTATTGTCGAACTGGTCAGGTGAACCAGGGCTTGAATTTGTGGAACGTGATGAAAACAAGAAATGTATCTCCAACAGTTTATACTTATGCTGTTCTCATAAATGCTCTCTGCAAGGAGAATAGACTTAATGAAGCTCGTGATTTTCTGAGGCAAATAAAGAATAGTAGTATAATTCCGAAACCGTTTATGTACAATCCTGTGATTGATGGGTTTTGTAAGGCTGGCAATGTGGATGAGGCAAATGCGATTCTGAAAGAGATGGAGGAGAAGAGATGCAACCCTGATAAGGTGACATTTACCATTCTTATTATTGGGCATTGTGTGAAAGGAAGAATGTTTGAAGCAATTGATATTTTTAATAGAATGTTGGCAATTGGGTGTGACCCTGATAGCATCACTGTTAATTCTTTGATATCCTGCCTTTTGAAGGCTGGGAGGCCTAATGAAGCCAATCGCATTAGAAAAATGGCATCAGAGGATCATAACCTGGGTTTGTCATCTTTTGAGAAAGCTATTCCTTTGAGGACAACTATAGACATCCCAGCGGCTGTTTGAAAGAAGGGGTGGTGCAAAATTGAAGTTGGCTCATCGGAGCCCTCAGTTGAAAAAGGCTGTTCCATCACCATGCATCTCCACCTTGTAGCATAAATGAGCTACAAGGCGGTTTCAAACAGTAAGTACTTTGTCCTTTTTAACTTTTCAGTGAGATCAACAAATGGAATAATCCACTTTCCCACACTTCAAAATGATGATGCTTTTGTTGAATTTGTAGCTTTCTCTACTTGTTTGCATATTTCTTCTAGTCGGTAGTGCTTGTGAATAATTACTTTTGGTCCTTTCTCTCTCATATTTATGATGTTGACAAATAACCATGTTTTCCTCATGAACTTCGTAGTAGTGCTTAATATGAAAGGAAGCTAGCTTTTCTACTGTGATGTCTGTCTCTGGTTAAGTCTATTGTTTTACAGCATTAGCAAACCTAATGGAGGCTTGCAGTTGCTTTAGTGATTGGAGATATGACATGTTTGACCTATACTAGATAGCTCAAATGTCAAGTGTGGAATAAGACAGGAAATTGATGCAGAAAGAAATCGAAAAGAGAGTTAAGCAAGAAAGCAGTAACATAGACCAAGTGCCTCTTAGGATTTTTAAGTTTGTGACTCTGGTTGTAGAAGGCTTCAGTTTATTGTTAATTTGTTTTTTTCCATAATGACTTTATAAGCAAGCTTTTCTGATTCTAATTACTTAACATGATGAAAATATACCAATACGTGTTTAAGGTTTCTCTAGTAACAACTATAACCACCAAGAAGAAACCTGATAATTGGGTTTGTCCATGGCCAACACACGTGCTCTAGTTGTGTTTTGTCTGCCAACCTGTGCTGTCCATGATTTGTCAATCCTGCAAACCATCCTGCTTCTTCGCATTAATTCACAAGGTCGTTTAGTCTACAAATATATTTTATTTCTGCCATGCTTCTTCATGTCTCGTTTAGCGTGACTTTGGTTCCATTGCTACACATGCACGCACGCTCACAAATGCATGCACATTGTGGTTCTTGATGACTGTATCTCGTGTCCATCTGTATCGGGAGGAGTAGAGATTGGTTGTCCAATCCTTACTCATCAAATGCGCTCAGTGCAACTAGTTATAAGGTGGGGATGTATGAATGGAGTGAAGGAAATTTGAGGGCTGGAACTAGAATTCTAGGAGGATGAAGAGTGACAGAGAGTATCCAGCTAATATGAAGTTGAAGAAGTGGAGAAACACTGAATTCAAGACAGTTATAGGGATCACCATATGAAAGTGACCTGTGTCTTTTTATTGGGTTTGGCTCCCTTCAAGTTACGGAGTAACATGATGCATCATGTTCGTGAAATCCAAACCATAGAAATCAATGGTTTGGATTTCTTTATTTTATAACTACCAATTTAAATGTTAAAAAATCCAACCATCACTAGCTTATAGAAATGGAATCTTAACCATTGAAATGCAAACCAAGAGTTTGGATTAACACCAACATGATGCATAACCTTACCCCTAACGTGAGGGGAGTCCAATTCCTTTGTATTAGGTCAATCAACTGGGTGTTGAAGTATGGTAAGGATCAGAAACTGATAACTTACGCGAACATTCAATATCTACCAATGAAAATCTCAAAATGGTAGCCAGAATTTATTCAAGGATGTATAGCCAAGTGTCTGTAAAGTTTATCTCGGGATAAAACATTTGAGAATTGAAGTGGTAATGTCTTGAACTTAACATGCTTTTGGGATGCTAAGTGGTCGTATTTCTGGTCAGGCAACTTTTAAATGCTCATCTTAGTTGCCCAGTTCAAGTTCTTGATTGTCAATTTTTTGCTGCGCACTATTCTGCTCATTTGTGAGTTCTTAACGTCTTTTGCTTAAATGGACTTTGCAGGCTCGCAGCATTTGCATGTTTTCAGACATTGGCCAATCACGAACTGTATACAATATCATGGTGAGCTTAAAGGACATATTTGATCTGTACTTGCAGGGTCATGACCTGTGTCTTTTTTTTACCTTGGATAGATATTGGGGGATGTTAGTTTTGGGAATTTCCAGTATAGACCGTGGGATGCAGGTAGGTAGATCAGTAAAATTTCCCCATGTACATAGAGATACCTTCCATGTCTGATGATGTCTAAAAGGAACCGATTACATGGAACAATCAAGCGATGTGGCTATCTTTAATCAATTTCACTTTCTGTTTGATCTTGGTTCTTTTTATTTTCAGTGTGTCAAATTCAGTTCTGTTCTGATTGATTATTGTTGGTTAAAAGGGGCCAAACCTCCATTAAACTTTAGTCTATTTGAAAGTTACTCTTTAAACTTTTAATTTGTGCTTTTTTTCTTTTGAACTTTATACTTTTTGAGATTTAATCCATTCTTTAGTTTTCTGTTATTTATTTCAAAAAAATAGCGATTATATAAATAACATAATTACATAAAGAGTTCTATGTTTAATTTGTGTTTTTTCTGTCATCAATTTTATTTTTTTTTAATTTAATTCATCTATTTGTTTTTTGTTATTTATCTAAAAAAATAATAATTATATAAATAACATAATTACATAAATATTTTCATAATGAAAATCATTCAACGAAACCATCTAAAAATTTTGAAATACTTTTTAAGTTATTTTTTATTTTTCTTCATTTTTTATATTTTTAATTTTAAAAATAAATAAATGTAATTTTTTTTGCTTTGAAAATTTTAGGTTTTTTTTTCTTTTTCAAATAGATGATTTTTTTTAAAAAAAAAAGTGTGAAAAATTTTATATCAAGATTTTTAAAAGGAAATAAGTGATAGATCATAGGTGCGATTAATTTGTGATTTGCCATTATGCTTTTTATAGCACTGACTTTTGCCCTGCTTAACGGACGTCAGAGGGATCACAACTTTAGGTGCAATATTCCATGCCAAACACAGTCAACTATTCTGCATTGGTGGATTCGTCAAGCAAGGATGGAGATGATTTCCCCAAATCACGATTAGGTCATATGCTAAGATCACATCATATATATATATATATCAAAGTAGAATAAATACTGCAATTATTCTAAACAACGCATTAATTTGTAAATGGCAACAAAGGGTTTCACATCAGGCATACCATGAGTGGACATGGGTTGAGTCTGTGTTCTGTATGCATAACATTTGCAAATCACGGTGTCTTCTTATTTTCGTACATCAATTCACCGTGAACATGCATCTTTAAAGACAAACACCTATCAGTTGCTACTGAAAGTCTTAGTACCCATCCAAGAGCGCATCATATCGGGTAAAAATCAAGCTAAGCAACGACCGGGTATGATGCACAGGTTGCAACACCTACAAAAATAAATAATCACCAAAATCAGGAAAAGCATTTCGAACGTAAAAGCATGTGAAAGATTGCTCAAGTCGGAGACAAGTCCAAATCCATTTATCTTGGCATCACATTTCCAGGAAGCCATTTCAAGTGGTGTGCATTGGTTTCACAGTCAAACCATATTTAGGTTGGAACTTACCACACATGTTTTTTCCCAATTCCATCTTAAAGTAACCATTGTCACCCCAATCTTCTCCCCAAGAGTTCTTGATCAGCCAATATGGGATGCCATTCTCTACTCCATACCCAACTGCAAGAACAGCATGGTTCACATCCTGCCACAAAACCCAAGACAACGTTAGAAAGTAAGCATCATATATACATATATATAGTTAATATGCGTTCATTCATGTACACAAGCGGAAAGAATCGAAGAATATTTTTTATGGTTTACATCCATTCACCCTACCAATCTCAACATACGTATCTTGCCAGGACTAGTAACTGAACTAATCTAACATTGATAAAAGATCATGTGAGGCGTAATTTTACATAAAGGTTGCTGTCTTGTGCAGTCTCTTGTGGATACACATTTCGAAACTTGAACATAAACTAGAAGTTTCTTAAAGTTTAAAAATGAGCAATGTCCCGTTAAATTTTATTGAAACAATACCACCCAACAGTTCCACTGAAAATAGTAGAACTCACCATGGGAGTACTGCCACAAGTGTCGGTGGTGTAAACTCCTTTCTTGTACAGACGGAACCCTTTTACTACCTCGAATGCCACACTCACTGGACGAACAAATGCAACTGCATGCTTCAATTCATCTTCAGCACCCTGCATTTGAGAATAAAATTACGGAATCTCAGATGATATAAATATCCATAAAGTATACCAAAATTGAAGTTTTGAGAGGAGTAGCAAATGATCAATGGCCAAATTTCGAACCCACCAAGAGACCATGTTTTTAATTATCACAGCCTCTTGTTTAAAAAGGAGAATGAACAGATAACTTCAAACAAGGAAATGAAGTCTCTCTACAAAGGTGATTGTCTAATATTACATCTCTAGAGTATTTGCACTAGAAAAACACAGCTTCTTTGAGCTACTAGATGGATCAAATAAAGTTATCTGCTCTCAATCCAACTACTAGAGGTATTAGAATGCTGATATGCCAAAAACAAGTAAATCTAATATACCCAATTCAAACACTTGTAAGAAGCAGAAATTAAGCCACATAGTACACCAAGGTTTGCCAACTCAAACAGCTCGAGTGAAAAATTTCAACTCAACAAGGGCCAGAATGAATATTCACACAATATTATTTAGGCGAATTGTGCATGCTACTTACCAGGGTAATGTTGACAGAATCGACAACTCGGACACCAATATTTTCTGATGAGAATTTGCAAGTACCATCTTTTCCAGTGTAAGGGTACGCTTCCTCAGTGTCAAGGCCACCATTGAATTTAATGTATTCAAAGGCTTGGGATGGCAATCCACCACTGCAACCAAAGTTATTAAATGCTCTGGCACAGTCCACAAGCTGCTGTTCAGACAGAGAGATTTCTTTTCCAAAAGCCTGATGGTAAGCAGCCTCAAGAGCTCCAGTGGTGCTGCAGTAGAAAAATATTCAAGTTCACAAGCACTAAAAAAAATATAGTTAAAAGCAGAAAGTTTCAACTTTCCCAATTTTTTAATATCTCAGGCTCAAGCTAACCTGAAAGTCCAGCAAGAACCACAGGAACCTTGATTCTTAACGGGACTGACTATACCTTCTTTCCTCCAGTCTTTCTGTATCCACAGACCAGAGCCCATGATTATAAATATTTAGCAGTATTTGCTAATTAATTAAGCAATAATTTTTATTTTTTTAAAAAAAAAAGGACAGAAAAGTAGTACCGTATCGGGAAGGACAGCGTCGGTAAGCATGTGATTGCCCTTTGTGGTTGCAGAGCAATTTTGGGCAGCTCCCAGTCTGTACTTCTGGAATTCTTGCCATGTCCAATCAGCAAATTCTGCAACATCATGAAAATGTTTAGTGTTTGGATTATGCTGCCTTCAAATACAAAACAGTAATTATTGGATCTAATTAATAAGACTTACGATTAAGACCAAGAGTATAAGGCAAGCCCTTTTTATTAGTGGATCTAATCAAATCCAAACTCTCCGAGAATATAGCAAACCGTAACTTCATCTCCTCCTCTGTCTCGTATCTCTTTCCATGCCTTAAAACATACAAAACAACCCATACCTCCGATGAGAGAAAAAAATAAAAATAAATAAAACCATAGCCATCTGATTATTTGAACGATCATCGTAATTAACAGTGACGTACCTGTGAGCAAAACGAGCAAAGGAGAGAGCCCGACGAGTTTGGCCTAAGACTTTAACAACAGAAGATTCGAAGTCATGGAGACGGTCAGATACAAGTCTGATTGGGTTGGATTCATCGAAACTTGATCCTGCTGCAACGCAGGATAGCAGGAACAAGATCGATGAGACCCACAAAACTGTGATACGAGCCATCGTTTGCTTGTTCAGTGGGGGTGGTAAACGAGGGGATGATAAATAATGGGAGGGAGGTAAGTGTGTACCCATTCGAAGGATTTGGATTGGACTTTAGTGGCTCAAAGAATCTTGGGCTGTGAGCAAAGTACACTTTTAATCCTCAACTATCATGTAATTCTTAACTGGGTCCCTGAACAAAAGACACTCCCAATTGTATCCTCTTCATCTATCAAACGTTACCTAACTAGGCGAAATTTTATATTACTTAAGGAAAAACTATCAATAATTATTCAACAGATCTACTTTTTTTTTTAGAAAAAAATTTAGATTCATTAAAAATAATAAAAATATTTTCACGTAAGTTCAAAATACATTTTTTAAAATTTTTTATCTTATTTTTCTCTCTTTTTTATCTGTTTTTTTCTAAAAAAATAATTTTTAATAATTACCCCTGCTATTAAAATTAGTGGGAATAATGATGTTATTTTAAGCCAAACATGTCCTTAGTTTTGTTTGTTTAAAGGAAGAAATATTAAGGCGAGAGTTAATTGGGTAATGTCCAAATAATTAAGGGCCTTAACTGGGATTTAAAACTAAATGTCCTTTTCCGAAAGAATCTTTTGCTTTGCGTAAAGGGCCTTTCCTCTCTTTGTTCGTTATTAATGAAGTCGAAGATGCAACGAAAACGAGGTAGTTGTCTTGTACCATACGGGTTTTGTAATGACTTACTGTGACGTACAAGGTGACGATGCCAACTGAGTGTGATCCACGACTTTTAGCCCGGATTTTTATGAATGGTTTGTTTGACTCGCGAAGTTAAAATAAAAATCAGAGATAGTAGGTGATTTTTAAAAATTGTTTTGTAAACGAACAGCAGAGAGTCTTGTCTATTAGTCCATCTTAACTAGCCCGAATTGAAATTGCACAAATTTTTAGGAAAAAAAATATATAAATTAATGGTTTTTGTTTTAAAAATGTTATTCATTTACATAATTTATTTACTTCATTTGTCTCATAAAAAGAGTCTTATTAGATTTTTTTTCCATACAGATAAAGAAAAGAACATGAATATTGTGTCAATACATAGATATTTTTAATTATATTCGTTGTCTTTTAAAATTAAATGTAATGAAAAAATATTTGAATTCAATTTTTAAAAAGAGGTAAAGAAATAAAATTTGGTATTTATTTTTTATATAAAAACATACATTTTAAAACATCTAAATACTAAAAAAATTATCTTTTTTTTTTTTTTTGGGACAGAAGGAGTATATTGTTGAATGTTCTTGTTTTTAGTAAATTTAGAAAATGATAAACGTTAATTCATGACTATCTAAAAAGAGTACAAATTTTGTATCAAAACATTTAATTCGATAAAAATATCCTTAAATTTTAAAAAATATATTATATGTATTAAAAAGACTTTATTCATAAAAATTAAATACATTTCCTTACTTAACAAAAAATCTGTATGTCAAAATTGAAAAAAAAAATTACTTCATTGATAATAAACAATTCAATTAAATTAAGCATGAATAGGAAAAATTCAAATAATTATATAATAAATGTGACTATACATATAAAGGTTTCGTGAAAAGTAGTAAAGCCCTTGTCACACTATCTCTTATAACCAAAATAGAACATTCTGTGTGCTTTTAATTCCTTTTCTCTTTATTTATTTATTTTCTTTTCTCAATTTTTTATTCACCAATTTTGTCTCTTCACTCGTTTTTTTCAAAACTCGTTATTTTAAAACTCATAAAAACAACAAAATTATTGGAAAGTCGTAAAAAAAAAGCCTAAAATTTCAACAACTCATGTAAATCGAATAAAAATACAAATTTTTAATTTTTTTATAAAAATTGAGAGATTAAAATTGGGTTACGACAAATAACATATATAAAAGTAAAATAAACTTCATTTATGTCCCCATATACATCAATGTTCAAACTCGTGTCCATGCATACAATCAAGTCATGTTCTATAAAAATATTTTAAAACTTCAAGGAATAAAAAATAAAAAGAGGAACTCATTTTTTTAATTCAGTTACCTATTTAACAATAGGTTTTACGCATACCGAGATTCAGTACAATTTAGATTTTTTAATTGAGATTTTAAATTTTTTTTTCATCCAATTTAAGAGTTCTACTCTTATATTATCGTTGTTTCGATTCTAATGTGTCATGTAAGTATGCATAACAAGTTCTAACCAATGACAACTTATCACATCATCAATTTAATCACCTAATTTGAGTCCATCATGATATATGACAAATTGTCATTTACTAGAGTTTACCACCTATGCTTACCTGGCACATTAGAATTGATTAAGTGAGGACAAAAATCCACACACATATAGTGGAAAACACTTGATCTATTATGGAGTGATCAAATAAAAAATATGAGGGTAAAGAAATATTTAATTTAAGAAAATAGATTTTCTAAACAATCAAAGAAAGAAATATTGAGTCTTTGAGCCTAAGATACCTTAAGAATTAAAAAAAAAAAAAAACATATATACTTAATCAAGGATGAATGGAATATCTACTTTTTTTTCACCTGCCAATTGGGTTAGAAATTGTATCAAGGCATTGCTCTTCTGTTTGATTTGATTTAATTATACATTTCTTTTATCGAGTTGATGGCAATATCTATTACTAATATATATTACAGAGTTAATGGTTACACTATTCTTTTTTCGTTTTCTTTTTTTCTTTTTATCGTATCTATTTATTATTTTTCATCTTAAGTTCGTCTTTTCTATGTTTGGTTTATATTTTAATTTTGTCATTTTATTAATTTTTTGACTAATAGTGTCAAATAGTAGTATTAGCATCATAAGATTGCGACATGTGTTGATTTTTTTTCTCTTAATCTAGTCCTTTTATTTTTTATTTTTTACGAAATTTAAATAATTAAGTTCTGTATATATATATATATATATATATATATATATATATATATCCGATCTTTTAACCACTTTCAAGTGAAGATTCTCAAAATATTTTAACAAAATTTATATTTTCACTTTTGAGTCAAATAAAAAATTTATAAAATAAAAATAAGTAAATTATAATAGGCCATTTTAAGGTATTATAAAATTATGAATATCATTCAAAAGTTTAAAATTTTAACTAAAACTCACTTAACATTTAAAAAATGCTAAAAATATTTCATTTTATTTTCAATTTTTTTAGGAAAAAAAATATAAATTAATGGTTTTTGTTTTAAAAATGTTATTCATTTACATAATTTATTTACTTCATTTTTCTCATAAAAAAAATCTTATTAATTTTTTTCCATATAGATAAAGAAAAGAACATAAATATTGTGTCAATTCATATACATTTTTAATTATATTCATTGTCTTTTAAAATTAAATATAATGAAAAAAATATCTGAATTCAATTTTTAAAAAACAGTAAAGGAATAAAATTTAGTATTTGTTTTTTTATAAAAAACAAACATTTTAAAACATCTAAATACTAAAAAATATATATCTTTTTTTTTTTGTGTGTGTTTGGGGGGGGGGGGGGGGGGGGGGGGGTTGGGCTAAAGGAGTATATTATTGAATGTTCTTGTTTTTAGTAAATTTAGAAAATGTTAAACGTTAATTCATGACTATATAAAAAGAGTACAAATTTTGTATCAAAACATGTAATTTGATAAAAATATCCTTAAATTTTTAAAAATATATTATATGTATTAAAAAGACTTTATTCATAAAAATTAAATGTATTGTCTTACTTTTAAAAAATATATATATGTCAAAATTGAAAAAAAAAATTACTTCATTGAGAATAAACAATTCCATTAGATTAAGCATGAATAGGAAAAATTCAAATATTTATACCTATAGTAAATGTTATTATATAAATAAAGGTTTCATGACAAGTGTTTTGTCATCTCTCAAGTTCAAGTAAAGTTCTTATCACACTATCTCTTGCGACCAAAATAGATTCTGTATGCTTTTAATTCTTTTTCTTTTTCTTTTTTATTCATTTTCTTTTCTCAATTTTTTATTCCCCGATTTTTTCTCTTCACTCATTTTTTTCAAGGCTCAATTATTTTCATTCAAAACTCACAAAAACAACAAAATTATTGGTAAGTCATAAAAAAGCCTAAAATTTCAACAACTCATATAAATCGAATAAAAATACAAATTTTTAAATTTTTTTATAAAAAATGAGATATCAAAATTGGGTTATGACAAATAACATATATAAAAGTAAAATAAACTTCATTTATGTCCCCATATCAGTGTTCGAACTCCTGTACATGCATGTGATCAAATCATATTCTACAAAAATATTTTAAAACTTCAAGGAATTAAAAACACAAATAAAAAGGGGAATTCATTGTTAAATTCAGTTAGCTATTTATCAATTAATAAATAAGGTCCAAAACCCAGTGGAGTTTAAGAGTAAAGACAAGAGAATTGATTATTTAAGGACAAAAATCCATACACATATATTGGAAAACACTTGATATATCATGAAGTTATCAAATAAAAAATATGAGGGTAAAGAAATGTTTAATTTAAGATTTAATTTAAGAAAATCGATTTTCTGAACAATCAAATAAAGAAATATTGAGTATTTGGACTTGAGATACCTTAAAAATCCAAAAAAAGAATTGTTTTTTTTCAAAAAAAAAACCGTATATACTTAATCAAGGATGAATGGAATATCTACTTTTTTTTCAACTGCATTAGAAATTGTATTAATGCGTTGATCTTCTATTTGATTTTATTTAATTATACATTTTTTTCATCCAATTGATGGCAACATTTATTACTAATATATATTACGGAGCTAATGGTTGCAAGAGTCTCTCTATCTTTCTTTTTTTCTTTTATCATATCTATCTACTCTTTTTCGTTTTAAGTTCATTTTTTTTTATGTTTGGTTTATGTCTTAATTTTCTCATTTTAAATTTTTTTTTACTAACAATGTCAAATAGTAATATTAGCATAATAAGATTGCAACACATGTCAATTTTTTTGTCATAATCTAGT